GCGCGCAGGGACATGGGGGAGGGAGGGTTTAGTTGCCTGGGGGAGCCGTACCGGCGGAGGGGGGGGAGACCGGGGAAAGGGCGGGGAGAGCCGGGGGGGGGAGGGGAAGAGGCAGAGAGAGCACCAAGAGGATGTAGGGTTGAGGGGTGGTGAGTGGAAACAGGTGGCCGTAGCGAGGGCGCGGATGAGGGGGAGGTGGGCACCCAGAAGGAGGGGCCGTACTCGAAGGTGCGCGCGTGGTGCAGGACTAGGTTCTTCAGGGTACGAGACCGGGTTTTTCGTGTTGCGGCGTCTAGGCGAGATAGGATCTTGGGAACCAGCCGTCTTGGTAGAGCGGTATTGGGGGGGCGCCGAGCTGGCTACCCTCCCCCCCTGTGGTTTCCGGAGGCTTGATCGCCCTGCGGTGCCGCAGGGTCTTCCCGTTTGAGTACTTTTCAAGTTAGACCCAGTGCTGTGGAAGGGCGCGGACTTGTGCGGTGTTACCCCCTCGACGGGGGCTATCTCCCCTGGACTAGCCCAGGGAGGGAGAGGCGGAGGAGGGTAGTAGTCTCAGGAGGCTGTTTGGCGTCTTGTGGTGTGAGCTCTTTGCGCTCTTTTTATTGCGTGAGGATTTTTGAGCTTGGTGACCTCCCCAGCCCGGGATGACTCGTCGGGCTCCCGGTCGCCCAGGTCCTGGTTGCGAGCTCTCTGAGATGCTCGGTTCGTTCGGTCGGCAGGAAGAGCCCCCCAGTTGCGACTTCGTTTATGTTAGGAGACCAACGGGCATAGATCCCGTCTAGTTGGAGCGCCAAACAAGCGCTGTTGCGTGCCGGCCGTCGTTTCCCGTGCGGCCTGACCCGGGGGCGGAGTGCATGAGACTAACCAGCCGTATGCACCCGCCCCCCGCGCTGTGCTTCGGCCCTGGGCCCCCGGCTTTTCAGCCCACAGTGTAATCAACGTCATACATACATACATACATACATACATACATACATACATACATACATACATACATACATACATACATACATACATACATACATACATACATACGCGCCCTCAGGTAATGCCGGTGTAGCACCTACAGACACATGTACCCGTACACATGTTTCCGTACATCCGTACATACATGTGGCGGTCGATGGTCTACCGCCCCTGGCCCCAGCGCCACCCTCAGCGCCTCCGCCACGGAACGTACGGCAACCACTTGCAGCCCGGCCGAGCGGAGCTGGGGGTCTGACGCCAGGCGCTCCCAGCCCTTGGTCTGTATGTATGTATGTAAGGGATTTGATTGTTCGCGTCACGCGTACTGCATGTTAACAAATGCTATTTGTGCACACACACATGCATGCATACATGGATACATACATACATGCATACATACATACATGCATACATACATGCATACACTAAAAACCCTAAAACCCACACCCGGTAAGTACGGCATACCTGCGGAATGATCACCCGCTTGAAACCCAATTTGGCAGCCTCGCGTAGTCGTACATCTAGCCGCTGGAACGACCGCCGAACTCGCCCCGCCAGGTCTACCTGCCGGCGTGCCATGTACACATGTAAGTATATATGTTGTTACAGGGTGGTTAACTTCGCCAGCGGCCCCCTTTCCCGGGGCAGTCCCTGCTCTCCCCTGCTAGAGGGGCACCCTAATCCGTCACCCCATCCGACTTCAGAATGTATTCGTTGGGTTCGGCAACTCACCACTAGCATCCAACCAAATCTAGCGGATCAACGGCGCATCAACTTAGTTCCTGGTCAGCTCGCAAGTTGATATTATCACGTCCTACACCGTCCATATGATGGGGGGCCACCTCCCATTTCATCACTCCTCAAACACCCGAGGAGCTGGCAGGCGGATTTGAGTATATATGTATGTAAATAAGTAGTTGGAGTTGGCAGGGACAAATTCCAAATCTCTTGTGGAGTAGATTTGGTGGCTTTTAAGGGATTTAGGTATTAAAGGTTTCGGGTTTTATGGTTTTGAAGGAGGTTCAGGGCTCTCCTTGCGTTCGCACAGCCACCGGGGCAACAACCGCCGCCGATGACGATTCACGGTACGGCGGCGGCGTACGGCAGCGGACGGGGGCGGCGGTGGTGGTGCCGACAGCAGCAGCGGTGGTCTTAGACCGTAGGGGTCGGGGCTCTACCCCCTCCGTGCCTTAAAACCCTAAGCCCCCAGCCCCCAGACAGACAGATAGACAGACAGACAGACAGACAGACGGACCCACCTCGCCGCACACCGCCAGATCTCTGGGCACAGGCGCGTTGAAGTAGGAGGACGCGATGGCGACCGCAAGAGCTAAATCGCTGGCTACGTCGCGAACCTGGAACCCCAAGAAGCAAAAGAGAAACACAGACAGACAGACAGACAGACAGACAGACAGACAGACAGACATGCAGGCAGCAAACAAGTAAACATTGCTCTGTTTCCAGAACCAAAAAATATGCTTTACTTTAAATAGCTGAGCTTGCAGTAAAGATAAAGTTAGGGAAGAATCGAGAGGGGGTGCGGGATGGCGGGCAGGATAATGCTCGTTGTCAGTCAGCCACGTAGTGGTTCGCGGGGCGGATTCATTCGGTGCTTCCTCCCCCTCCCCGGAGAGATCTCCGGTTAATTTGATTGCCCTCTGCTAGCCGGGGTTTAGGGGGTTTAGGGGATAATGCTAGGGTTTTAGAGGTTTCGGGTTTTATTACCCTCCGGGTGATGTTGGCCTGTTACATCAACCAACATGTATTGGTTGATGTAACCAATACAATCAACCAATTGTATTGTATTGGTTGTATTGTGTTTTACATAAAACACACGTACACGCGCAAATGAGTAAGGCGTCACATTTCCGTAATGGTACGACACGTGCGCGTATAAAACTCCCCAATGAAGTCGTCACGTCAAGGTGCCCCAAATCTTTGACCTGTACGGACGGGACAGAGACGACATATATACACACATACACATACACATGCGCAAACCATGTCCTGGGTTTTAAAACCCTAAACCCCTCCCCCCATAAGCCGGTTTGTACCTGTGTACCGCCCACCACATTAACGATCACGGAGCAGCAGGACAGCTCCAGGGTAGGCACGTGTTTGTCAAGAATGGCACACAAGTTGGCAAGACGAAGCTTCTCAACGCCGGTGGCGGAGCGGTACGACAATGCAGACGAGCCGGCAGTGGCGGCACGGTCGCCCAGAGGGCTCACGAGGGCCTGTACGGCGCCACGTCATCACGCGGCGGTTATATAACGCAAGAAGAAAACACACAACCGTTGTTAAACGGTTTCTTAACCACCGTTCGAAGTTACACTATCGCAAATGAAAAAAGCCGTAGGTGGTAAGGGGTGTTGCTCAGGTAAGTGGTTTTTTTTCAAGGCGTCCAGCAAAGCTTAATTCCATAAAATGTTAACATGATATCTCTCGCCGCGCGCGCGTCTCCGTGCGGATGCCGTTTTTAATTGTTACACCTCCTCACTTTCCTTGCTTTCCTGCTTTTGCGCGTTTTTCCCCCTTACCATAAGGCCCTTCCCGGCAACTAACCCCCCACCCCCGCCCCGCGGGGCCCCCCACCTGCACCTCCACCAGAATCGCTCGGGTGCCCTGCAACAGGAAGAACAATGGTACGGCAGATGTACGGCAAATGGAATATCTGCATCCGGGTTTCGGTCTGAATCTGGTTTTGAGTTCAGGATCAGGGAACGCCCCTAGAAAACGCGTTGAAAATAAAAACGTGAAAAGTACCGTTGTCCATTCGTACAACCCAACTGCCCTAGTCTCTGCCCCAGCGGCAGTTTGACAGACCCTCAAACCTTCAACTCCCCAACAACTATAAATTCTTTGTCGCTCTCCCCCTCCTCCTCCTCCTCCCCCTCCCCCTCCCCTTCCTCCTCCTCGCCCTCCCCCTCCTCCTCCCCCTCCCCCTCCCCTTCCTCCTCCCCTTCCTCCTCCTCGCCCTCCTCCTCCTCCTATCCCTCCCCTTCCTACCCCCTCCTCCTACCCCTCCCCTTCCTACCCCCTCCTCCTACCCCTCCCCTTCCTACCCCCTCCTCCTATCCCTCCCCTTCCTACCCCCTCCTCCTACCCCTCCCCTTCCTACCCCCTCCTCCTACCCCTCCCCTTCCTACCCCCTCCTCCTACCCCTCCCCTTCCTACCCCCTCCTCCTACCCCTCCCCTCCCTCTCTCCCCCCATCGCCGACCTGTAGCGTAACGCCCACTACGCTGCTAGCGCCGCTCTCCTCCTCCGCCGCCTCCGGGTCCCTCCCTGGAGAATCCGCGAGACGGTTCTCCAGGAAGAGTGCACTGGAGTTCGCCACTGCGTGGATTCCTGTGCCGTACAGTGCCGTACAGTATAGTGTTGTAGTACGGACCAGTACGCTGTTAACAAGTCTATTACAGAAAATTTTCGTGATGGTATGCATATATGTATGTATCTGAGTTATATCGTAGCTATGTTGATCCTATGACGTGTTTTCAGTAAAATCTAATCTAGTTTCGGTTACGGTTAGTTCGTTATTGTTAACAACTACCTACCTACCTACCTACCTACCTACCTGTGGCGTCCATGGAAAACACGCCGCACTCCGCATCCGATCCATGACGGTTTTTAATCACCCGCAACAGCCGTACACTCTGTGCCACGTCACCCTCGAGGTACAAAACCGTGTCCACCTGTATGTATGTGATTGCGAGTGGCGGGGGGTGACGTGGCATTGGGGTTAGCGATGCAAGGGGGTTGGTGGGTTCGGGAGAGGTGGTTAGGCGGGGGGAAGGGGGTGAAGTGGCGGTGGGGCGGTGGGGCGGCTGAGGGAAAGCCGGGGGAGCCTTGTACTGTCTAGGCAAGAGCTTATTTAGGCAACCTTATTTAGGCAATGCTTCCTAATTAACAAGGAGGAAGAATAATTAGATGAGGTGGAACGGACAGGTAAGTAGATAGATAATAGATAGATAGTTGGATTAGAAATACACAATAAGATGGAAAAGGTCGCAACTAAAAAAACACACAAACATAAAAATATCATTACGTATTTAGGAAAGGGCTCGGGTTATGTTATGGGTGTGGGCGACCGTTACGGCAACGCGTCCCTTTACCTTGTCCGCAGACCGACATAGAAAACATGAACCGAAGGAGTGCCGTACACTGCTGTACATGTACATCGTGCCCTGTCGTACGTACCATATGTGCTAACATGTTCGGTCCCGCCATCTCTCCTCCCTTGGTCACGTGACCAATGATGAATACGGTCACTCGGTAGTCCTTCGCCAAACGAAGCAACAGCTGACCGCATTCCCGAATCTGTCGTATATACCGTACAAAAGTACCCGTACGATAAAATTTACAGCGGTACGGAAGGAAAGACGAACATTCGTATATGAGGTGCTCCATGGGCGTCAGCCCTGGTGGTTTCTCATTACCAGGAGCTCACAATACACACATCCTTTTTTATTTTACAGAAAGCAAACAGCAGTACGAGAAGGAAAAATGGACGAAATTGAACAATGAACCACGTCCGGAAAAAACAGAAAAAATCTGCATCATCGCGGAATCTCCACACACGTCACAGGGGGTTCGTCAGTTCCTAACAAAAACCCAAACAAATCATGTAACACTCCGCTAACCTGCGTGACAGTTCCGGGCGCCTGAGGCAAATTGTTCAGATAGACTGTGTTAATGGAGTCCATGACAACGGCATCGGGCCGGAGCTGCAGTACGGCACCTGCAGTCGCATCCAATGCCAAGAGATAAACCAAAATGTAGAACAAAAGATAAAACATCCCAATCATATTCATATGTTCGCAAGAGTCAAAACGTTGCGGTTGCATCTAAAAGGTTCTGTTGGTTGGCGACAGGAAAACAGAAACAAACAGAAACCCCCGAAACAAAACTGTTCCGCAAGCTTAAAAATACCGTACTGCAGTGCAAGTTGTAACGATGTACGAATTATTTATTCGAATCGATACAGCGAAACTTACGAGAGATAGCGCCCATTTCGCTGCGACACAGCACCGCCACGCCGTCGCAGCAGTCCAGACCCATGCGACGGCTGCGGTCAACTACCTTTCGGTTGGAAGTTCAGGCAGTTGAAACCGTTGTGGCGGTTAAGACAGTTAACATCTGCTGAGGCAACATCGACAGCTGCTGTTGTCTTTCTTACTATTTGTAAATCGTGGCGTCATCTTCTTATTCGTGGCGCAGGAACAACCAACAGGATGGATAGAGCTTCAGGAACCCGAGCACAGCAAATGCCGTCATCATTTCGAAATGCGCTGTGTTAAACCTTAAGTCTTTACGCCAGCTAGCAATATTTGTGGCTAGCAATGTTTATGGCTAGCAATATTGATGCATACCCTCGATCGTTCCATTTTTGGTATACGTTGATTTCCTTCCCCCCCCCGTCGCCGTCGCGGAATGATACCGTTAGTACGGCAGCCAGCGGACGTTGCGGAGGAGACGGAAGGTCGGGTCGCTCGTACAGCACGTGACTGGCACTAACCTGCTCCCGCGTCTCCTCAGCCGTGACGTACAGAACTGTACGACAAGGGGGTGGTGATACGGTGCCGTGGTCTGACGCGGTGCTGGCAGCAGATCCCGGGAACGCCGTGGCGGCGCCGCCGCCGCCGTAGTCGGTACTGCTGTCGTACCAGCCGTACCTGCTCTGGTCAGAGTTAGCGGCACCGGAAACCCCGTCCGATAAGCCTCCGTACTCATACGAAGACCGGTCGCTGCGCAAGTGCTCTTGGGCCCCCTCACTGAACCCTGGCTCATGGTTACCGTACACGCGACTGTCGTACGAACTGCCGTATTGATCGCCAGATGCTGTTGCTGTACTTCCTACCTGCGAAATCGCAGAACATGCAACGGTACCGATCAAGAGACGTCGCTGGGGGATGTACGGAACATAATAGAGCCGTACAGGCCGTACAAAGTACATGAATTGCAGCATGAACCGGTGTCGCGGCCAGTCCATCCCCACTGAGACAGCACGGTAGCGGTACCATCGCGAACTCTCTCTTACCGGCGTGCCGCCGCTGGTGACGTGGCCATTGCCGTACCACGTGCCGTACTCCATGCCGTACTCATGTCGTACGTCGTCCTCCTCTTCGCCCTCGTCTGACCGGCGCTGCTCCTCAAGCGCATCGAAGTCGATTTCGGGATGCGCCATCATGGCCGCGATCTGCCGTACTTGTCGTACCAGCCCATACGTAAGGGCATTCGCAAAAACGATTTTCATGGACAGTTAGTTGCTCTGAACTAGAGCATAAAAATCCAATTTTGCCATTAAAAGCTATGTTTTACATATTTGCACACACAAGTTGGACAGTTAGGCACACGACCTACCAGAAAGGCAACCGCTGAGGGGCGAACCCACCAAACATCCGAAAACACAGTGGGGCTCTCAAAGAAGCCTCGAACCTCTTTCCGTAGTGGCACCAGCCCCTGCCCAGAGGCCCAGTCCTGCCCCAGCCCCAGCCCCGGAGGCCCAGCCCCTGCACCTGCAGCGTGAGGGTGCTCTTGCCGACCCCTGGGTCGCCACCGATCAGCACCAACGCTCCAGGCACTACACCACCTCCCAGGACTCTGTGCCGGTTGGGAGTTAAAAAACGGTTGGACAGTTGGACAGTTAGGCACTTCCTAAGCTCGGAGCTAGGCCGCAATGCTGTGGGCGCTGTCCAACCCCGGATGCTCCTGCCGGGGGTTTCCTATCAGTCAATTTATCCGTACATTTCATTTATCCGTACATTCGTACAGTCATGTGGCCACAGACCCTACCCCTCCCTTTCCCTATACCGCTCCCTCTCGCCTACTCCCTCCCTCTCTGTCGTACTTTTCCTCGCTCCCCGTCGTACTTTCCCTCCATCCGTCCTCTCCACCTCTCCTACCCCACCTCTCAATAAGACATGACGGGCCCCCCCTCACCGTTGTACCTCAGCCCCTGTACGACCACTCAGCGGAATACGTGCCGTACCGCCTAACCGTCCGGCAGCGGACATCTGCGACAGAGCCCGCAGCGATAACGGAACATCCTCGAGCCCTCCGCCGCTGCCGTCGCTGCCGTTGGCAACCCAGCCCACGGCGCGATCGCCGCTGCCGCCGCCGCCGCCGCCGCTGTTGGCGTCGTCGTATGACGGCGGTATTCGTGCACGTACGGAAGCTGCGTCCTGCTGGATCCGTTCCAGGGCCTGCACACCTACGAGCACACCGCCGCCGCCACATTTACATTTACAAGGGGGTGGTCAGGAGACACATATAGCCCCCATGGGCCCCATGTTCGTGTGCATTGACGGACACCCCCCACCGCATCCGGGCGGCACTTGTATAAAAACTTGTAAGCTGCTTATAATATAAGGCCTCCGGGAAATATTTTTTTTATTTCCCGCTATCACTAACTCAGTCCGTCAAGGCTCCCGGGGACCACGTGTACGAACATCATGATGGTAGCAGTACGTCATCCATTCATTCGGCGGTTTGGGAGGGCCCTACGGTATTATTACCTAATGCCGTACACACCTGCACCGCCACCGCCGCCAGCCGTGGCTGCCGCCGCCGCCGCCGGTTGCGGCGGCTCCTGTACGATCCCCTCCAAATCTATCGTCCCGAATCCTCCACACTTATTGCATTTGCCTGTTGGTACGTCGGTACGTCGGTATGTCGGTATGTCAAGGAGTCCACGGGAGGAGAGAAGTCGCCAAGGGGGAGATTGGGGAAATGGGTCGCAAAAAGGGGGAGGAGGACGGCTAGCACGCATCTGCGTGATGGAAATGTAAAACGGCTTTCATCGGTAAAATCAGAGGTTGGCTGAAGCTAATTCCCCTGGGCCACCCCGCCCGACTACTGCCGCACGTCCTTGACAGCAGCCTCGAAACACACACACGTCCTCCGCTCGGACAACACTGGCTCACTGCCCCCTCACAGGACTGCCGGGCTGAAATCAACTGACACATGCCATCTGCCGCCGCAACTTATGATAACTCTACACGGGAAAAAAAACAGCGTATGTACGGCCCGTCGTGATGTGTTTCCAAAATTCGCAATTCCGCCCTTTCCCCGTCCCTCCCGCCTGAAGATTTCCCGAAACCAACATTTTTTAAGGTTGTAAAGTCCTGGAGTGCCGTACCGTGGTATTGGCCGTGACGTGCTCCGCATTTGGAGCACACGTACACGCGACGAACTTTGCCGCCGCCGGTGGTGACGGTTCCGCCACCCAGAAGCGCGTGTACGGCAACGCTGCGGGGACAACAGGGACTTGGGCAATTCCTTGGGCTGGCAGCGCCGCGGACGCGGCTGTCCAGCCTTAAAGATTGGTCGCGGCGGAAAAACTCTGAAGGCATAGCTAGTTCTGTTCTCCCAGCTTGTAGGTGCGGCAGTGAAGTGGCGCAGCAGCAGGCCATGAGGAGCACCTCACGGGATAATCGACCGCAGGTGAGTTGGATTCCACGTGAGGAGGCATATGGTGTAAATGCTCGAAGAACATGCTGGGCTGCACAGCAGGACCGTCTGGGCGATGCTGATGCAGACGCCCGATTGAGTTGGGCGGATGTGGATTGCATGCTCCCAGGACGTTGATGATCAAGTCTATAGAAGTTTCGTAATTTCCAAGCTGTTCGTAATTTTCAAGCTGACGAGCAATGTCACCGGCTCCGGAAAAGGCTTTCGGACTGACTTGAAAGGACCAGGGCGGTGACACAACAACGCCTAATCGCGTGAAAGCTCCTCAAGAGCTTCCAGGGAACAGCCCGCGACGTGTCAACTGTGTTACAATAACCATTTTAGCTCCGCATAAGAACGCAGGACCTGCCGGCAACGACATTGCTGACTCAAGATACTAGTAAGCCCTAGAAATAGACCTGAATCAGGAGAAGGATGCTCATAAAGATATCGTGTAACCCAGTTCCTTACATCCGCTCTGGCAAGTAGCGACACAGCGCCGAGCTGCCGACCTCGTGCTGCCCATAACGCCCCGAACTGATGAGAGACTGTCCTAAATAGCATGCGATGCAATATGATTGGTGACGCCTATTGAACAGGTAGGATCTTTGCCGGGATTGCCAGATCGCTACTCGGATATTTCCGGCTGTACCAACTACCATAGCTGTTTCGAATTGTCGCACGCAACAAAGGCCAGCAAAACAGCCACAAAAGCAAAATAACTTGGAACGATCTTTATGCTGTTTCTTTATGCGACGCGCCTTTGCTACCTGCTCGCTTCAACCTGCCTCCTATAGAGCTACTAAGAGCGATGGCCAGCTGGCTACTGCACACACCATTGCTACTGTAGAGATGTTCCGTAATGTCACCATCGTGTTGACCGAAAACAACGGACAAAGCTAAATGCCTGAGGCATATCTCCCTTTTTTCCCGATAAAAACAGTTCTAACCGTGGCCGCTCACTGTGATACGTCCTGAGGGATTAGCAACCCGCCCCAAACCGAGACTCCGCCGAAATAGGGAGTACGCCGGTTAGCCCGGCTAATCCAGATTCACAATGCTCTCTTCATCGGTTCCCAAACCGGCGGCGGCACATTTCCTTTCCATATACGATGTCAATGTACGGCTTTCCAATATACGGTATCAGTCATGCACGCATGGATGTAATTTCCTACCGATCGATGCAATTATGTAGTTGTAGAGCCACGCCCAAGAGGCATGCAAACTGCAACACAGTGCAGTCGATTTGGCGTGCTTACCTAGGCGCTAGGCCGCTAGCAGGCGTACAGTCATAAAAACATGATCGTAACGGACTCCAGGGGGGCAACCTCAGGATGCACGCTCAGTAGCAAATTGCGGTGCGAAACACAACCATAGAACCTTCCCTCCCTCCCCTCAATCCCTCCCCCCTCCCTCAATCGATCCCTCCCTCCCTCCCTCGATCGATCCTTCCCTCCCTACCCCCCTCCCTCCATCTATCCATTCATAAAGCTTACAATGTCCCTGAACGGGTCCAATACACATCATCATCCGCGCGGCCCAAACCTTGGACCCACAAAACCCTCCAAGTCAAGTCAATGCTAAGTCACGAACCCAAACTACAAGCCTATACCTGACACCCTGACATACACACATACACACACACGGCCGAGTCACAACCCCGGCTTTAACACCTGAGGCAGTACATTGCCAAAAGGATAGATGGCCGGTAGGTATAGGACGGGCTGATAGATCAATCTCAATGTTCGGCGATAGTCCGTCGGTCGATCCTTTCCGATGCGTCAGAAACAGCAGACCGGCGGAGTCGATGCGCGTGATTCATCGCGTTGCGACGGCCGGCTGCGGCCTGCTGGTGGTGGAGTGCGCGCGCATAGTTGCGCAGAGCGCATGAATGGATGGCTGCTGCGGGCCCCTGTGGGCAGTCAGGCAGCGGCAGATAGCGGCTTGGCTTGGCTTGGCTAGCCTAGAATCGCCATGCAGCTGTCAGCGAGCGTACCGTGAATTCAAAGAGGACGCCGCCGCATTAGCTCAGCCCGCAGAGAGCGAGGTAGGTGCGGCAAGCCATGAGCAGCAAGCCATGCGCTCGGCTTTGACCTGGTTAGTTAATAAGTGGAAGACAGTGCAGACAGGGTCCGAATCGTGGTGAAGTCCGGGAAGGAGGATCAGAAGGGCATTGGAGTAGCACGGACTTGCAAAAGGGTTGAGCTACCTGGTGCTTATAGACGATCTGGCAGCCCTTGAGCCCTCGGCTCTTGTTGGGTGGTTTGCAGGTACGGGGAACGCAACCTACGACCATGGAACACACACACCCACACACCCTAGAGTTGGGGAATGGGTGAAGAGGGTTTGGTGAGGGCAGCCTGGGTGCGTGATACCGCGTGCGTACGCTATGCACACTTTCACGCTCCATGTTCACATCAAACGGATATATTCTGAAGGTGCTATTGACAGAACGCCATGATCCAGGCTTTTAGAAAGATTAGTGGCCAACAAGTCTTGGCTATTTTGCATCACAAAATAAAGGAGTGTTCAATAGAAGAGATATGCAGAAGCACGTGTGCGATTGGAACGCTTCCTGACAGCAAATTGTCGTCCAGTGCGAACCTGAGTCCCTACACAATTATAGTAACCTCACCTTCCAAAACAACTGCGTACACCAAAGCCTGGAGCATTAACCGCTGTGCCTTCCGACGAGTTCGGCAGAGATATGAACATGGCACACTATTAACTCACGCTCTTGCTCTAGGAGGTACGTCAAGTTTTCGTCTGTCCATTTGGTTCTTGTAGTGCTTCATACGTGATCCAAAGCAGCCGCGCTAAAATAACAGCCATCAAAAACCAGTGCGCACGCCGCAGGACTTTTTGTGCCCCTGTAGGCTGGTCCGGTGGTGGCTTCCACCACATTTCCTTATTCAATGACGTAAGGTTAGGCGAAAAGAGCCCTGCAGCCAAGATCCGTGAACTGCTTCATAATTCGTTGCAGGCACGTGCAAGGAATCAGAAAACTGTGTGGGCCGTTATAATTGCGACGTGCAAGTCTCAATGTGTAAACCAACAGCAATTATGATTGCAAACTATTGCTGGTTAGCGCATTTCCTTACGTATAGAAATGTACGGTAGAATTGCTGTACAATATTAAATGGTTGATTATTTGTTCGATTATACTTGATTACGTTTGGGCTCTCCTCCTGCGGTGGCGCTGAAACTGGAAAAAAACTTTGGATAGCTAAAAAAATGATATCACAGTTATGTGCTTATTTTGAATTCTTATATGCCACACGCCTGGAGACGATTGGCATTTAAACAGGCTGTCGGACGCAAGGACCGTGGCGCAAGCGGATAAGGGGGTATCTAGGCGTCCTGGGAGCTCTTAATAAGGTTGTATATAACATGTTGCCGCACAAGAGATTCCAGCTGCCAGGGCTGCCAGGATCTGTGGGTAACGTAACGGTATCAACGGTATTTGGATCGTAGGCATGCGTACCACGGCGTTCCTAAGATCCGATTATGAAGTTCTGGATTTTGAATATGGCAATGCTCACGCGGACACATAGATTCCTTGCTACACACTTAGTTTTACTACGAACTGGCAAGGGTTTTGCGTACCGTACGTTTGCCTTTGGCTAGCGCGCGGTGGGTATGGGCATCCAGGTGCTACGCGCAGGTCCCATTTCCAACAAGCACGCTCCTCCGGCTTCCCGTTCGTGGTTCAGGAGGGAGGGGGGCCCATCCGCATTCAGGGTGCCCAAAGAGACCTTTGACAACAATCATCAACGTATGCTTCTGCTTACCCGCGCATGATGATGGTAAGATAACTTCCCTATGTATTAAGGTGGGAATGATTAAATGATAAATAAAATTAATGACAGTGTCCGCAGGTACCGGCAGTGCGTAGCCCGCCTGCTGGATGTATGCCAATTCAATGTCCGAAGTAAGGCCGCCGACCATCAAGATGGGTTTTTCAGGAAGCCCAATCTAAATATGGGGGCCCTGGTGAAGCAGCTGACCGATTTCGCTTTTTGAGCAATAGGCGGTGATACAGCGTTTTCAATAAACATCCGCGCAAATGAGCGTGAAGTCGGCGGCAGACAATCACATCGTGCCTTTGGATACAAACATGCCTCCGGCTGCTGTTCCTAACGCCGCCGTTGATGCGTTTTCAACCACATCACCATGGTCTTCTTCCTCCTCAGCTGTTGCCTCCAAAAACAGTAGCCTTGGCGCCCGCGGCGACAAAACAAGCAGCAGCAGCACCACCACCACCACCACCAGGTCCTACTTCCAAATCTTCACCGTTGCCTGGCAGTACTTGGACCACAGAACAACGCGGTCCATTCGGGCGGCATCCCGTGACGGCCGGCTCCTGCACGACTCCCTCACGACCTGCTTGGATCTGTACTTGGGAACACGCGGCGGGACCTACCAAGAGCCCGCTGCCGATGACCTCTCCCGTTTCATCGGGGCCGTTTGCGGCCGAGGTGCGCAAATAAATGCCGTGAAGCTGCACATGGAGGATGTGGACGACGACTCATCAACAGCGACGCTACGAGAGCAGCAGCTGTGAGTAATTACGGTAACACGAGGCAGTTAAAAATGCATTTGTGTGGTGTTGCGTGCTTGCTGCTTTTACTCCCTATTAATGCACATGTCCTACTTGTTTATGCGTCGGTACGAATATTCTACATTTTCCTGAAAGTTGACCAATCTTAGTAATTATAAATTAATTCGTAAGTAGTAATTATGATGTTTTATTGTGCTTTATCGTGGTTTTTGCGATATACGATATTAATTGCGATTGGTGTGTAGTAAGTCCCCGCAACGGCGACCGTCCAGCAGTCGTCGCACTATCTCCCACCCACACGCGGGTGCTGCTGCTGCTGCTGCTGCTGCTGCTGCTGCTGCTGCTGCTGCTGCTGCTGCTGCTGCGCCCACGCCTAGTTAACCTCGTTAAGCTAACGTCGTCTACTCCAAGCCCAACTCCAGGCCCAGCTCCAGGCCCGGCGTGTGTCTTAAGGGATATGTGTCTTAAGGGTTGGGAGGATCGCCATCAGTTTTGCCCATTAGCTGATATACTGCGGTATGGGCTCTCGCATTAGAGTATCATGTGATCGCAGGTATACACGCCGTACACGTGCGTGCATCCCCAGGCAATCCGTGTTGCCAGTATCCCCAAACCGCCGCCCCCTGGCATGCGGACGTAATCGGATGTGTCAAACTGACCCGCGCAGATCGGGCAGTGCATACATAACCAGGCGCATGAAGCTTCCCACTCTGTAACAATAACAACAACTTCAAATAACCGGGCGCATGATAAATGTATAGACAGTATATGTGCCATACTATTTGAAGCTACTACTCCTCGGATCTAACTGCTAATAAAAAGCTGTAATCTGTTCACGCACCAAACAACAACAGTTTCCTGAACGGGAAGTCGTTCGAATCCGCGAGATTTTGTGCTCACAAACGCTCTCTCTAAGAGTTCGCTAGGCGGCTCGACGCCCGGTGGGAGTGCCCGGATACCCTAGGCGACCCACGCACCTTCCCAAGTGGAGGTACCGGCGTCAAGGCATGTCGCTATCTGAACTGGATGGGGGCGCCCCCACTTAGGGGCACGAGGCATAAGTGGCTGGCCCACGCTGAAATCACCATGCCCCAACGTTTGCATCAAATGCTTATGTGTCTCCGGTTAGGCTGTTGGGGGTTAGAGATTAACCGACCTAACGGCCGTGAGCGCACAGCGCGCACCTGCAGGCTCTGTGATTGCAGGGCGGTTGAAGACGAAATGCATGTCTTTGTGGAATGCCCGGCGTACGCAAGTACACGGGCTAAATACGAACGTGACCTCGCGCTTCAAGGGCGCAACATGCGCACGATTATGACCGCGGCCCCACCCCTGGCGCTAGCCAGGTTCCTCTCGGAAGTCTGGGAGACCCGGCACGTTGCACTAAGGCGCTTCGTGCTCAAGCGGACGAGGGAGGACGATGATGGTCCACCACGTAACCGCACTAAAAACGATTTACCGTCCATGGCCCCTCGGCTTTTACGGACACCCCCGCACTTGTGCGGAACTTGTAATTTGTAACACAAACGCTCTCACGTACAACGAAATGGGATTTAAAACATTGATAAACAAAACATGTTACCTCATCGCGCCAACTGCTGCTTTCCTTGTTTGGTAACCTAGTCCGTTTAACAATTGCCCACCCACTCACCACCCATCCACCCCCCTGCTGCTGGCCTCATTGCATTCATCCCGCATCCGCGCAGCCTTGCCGTGATGTCATCACTGCTGTCGTCATCCTCTCGTGCGGTGCGGACAACAGTCAAGGTCGTTCACCTCCAAGGCCAGCCTCACCTCACCGGCCCCGTTGTCAACGCTGTCACAGCCTTGGCTCCCAAGCAATTGTTCCTGCATTACGATCGCCCACCTGCTGCTGCTGGGACGGCCCATGACTCCAACACTGCTGCCGCATTTTGGCTGCTGGCAGGCTGCCTGCCACAGCTGGAAGCCCTGGGCTTGTCTGGTGTTGCACACTGGCCAGGTTGCATGCTACATTGCCTGCACCTTCATCCATCAGGCGTTCAACAGCTGACGAAGGTGGTCTTGAAGCTGAATAACGACGTGGACGTACGACAGCAGCCGGGCGGGATGATGCCGCCAGCAGCTGCCTCTGCTGCTGCCACTGCTGCGGGTCAGATGGCGGTATATATGGAATAATAGCCAAATAAATTAAAGAATTGGCTGAATGTAGTGTACTACATGTATATACGTATGTACGTCTACTGCTGCTAGGAAAAGGTGTTTTGCGTGGTGTGATAACGCCATTCACCCATTCGTTCTTCTATTCGTTCTTTCATTACAGTGGGTTGGGTGTGCATGCACACCCACCCCATACCCACCGCATCATGCCACATCATGCCACATCATGCCACATCACAATGTGATCGTACGAGTACGATGGTGCTTAGGGTTTGCCAATTGATGCCTTATCATTGTTCTATTGCTTGCTTGCTCTTCTCGCTCATCCCCTATTATGTGCTCTTTTGCCCCACTACCTACCGGTGGCGTACATACATACGTACATACCTACATACGTGGCAGATCTGCAGTCGTGCCTCTTTGCCCTCGCCATGCTGCCGCGGCTGAGGTTCCTCCAGCTGGAATGCACTGCTGGTCGCCGCGGCCTGTGCCGGCACTTCCCGAACGACCCAGACGCCTGCTCTTTGAACCTGGGCTGCCTAGCAGCCCTCACAGCCCTCACAACGCTGTCTCTCAGCCTCGCGTTGTGCCACCAAGAAACGAACACAAGGGCATTTGCCTATCTTTTGGCGCCTGAAGCACAGCTTAGGTGGGAAGAGGTATGGCAGGCGCAGCGTACTGGGCTGCTTAATGCGGTGCACTGCATGCGGAGCCTTCGGGTGCTGCGTGTGAGGGGCATGCTACTGAATGTGGAACGGCTGGAGGCTATGACGACGCCCACCGCATTGGAGGAGTTGGCGCTGCGTGGCTTGCTACTGCCTGCTGCTGCTGCTGCTGCTGCTGCACCAAACGGGCCCCGCCATGGCCAGCAGCAGCTGGCAGTAGCGCCAGCATGGCCCGTCAACATGGCTACAGCCGCTGCAGCTGCTACAGCCGCTACCGCAGCAGCAGGGCCACGCTGCTGGCCACTTCCAAGAGGCCTGAAAATTTTGCGGATGAGCCAGGCATCGCCGACAGTCCTTGGGTCCCTGACTGCGCCGCCAGGCCTGGTAATCGAGGATGACAGCCGCGCCCTCCGACTCACATTCACGCCTTTGGACTTCCTTGCCGGTGTTGAAGCAGCTGCAGCATTGGGAGTTCAGCAGCAGGTTATCGTGACTCGTGGGCCGCAGCTGTCACCAGCGGCTGTCAGCGCCTTCCTGGCTGCTGTGCAGCTACTGCTGGCAGCTGCCAGCAGGCTACTGCTACTGCCGCCGAAACACGCTGCAGGACCGGGCGGTAGGGTGATGTGGGTAACTGCGGAGGTTGGCGCATTCGATATGCTTAAGCCACCGCCAGCACCGTTACCTCCTCCTGCAGCAGATGATTCGGCAGTAGGGGCAGCAGATTCGGCAACAATGGCGGGCAGGGCCGTATCGCCCGCTGGGGCAGGTCACTCTTCCTGGCTGTTCGCCCTTGGGCTGATGCCGCTGAGGAAGCTGTACCTGCATAAGATCTTTTTGTGCAAGCAAGACGTCGTGACGCTCGTAACGAGGTTACCTTGCCTAATGGTGGGTGCAATGGTGGGTGCAACCAAGATGACGATGATAGCTGAAGAGCGAGGTGTAGGTTGTGGGTGGGAAGGAGGCAGGCCTGATGGTTGTAACTATGGCGCCATATAAATATTATACCACGCAACTATCTGAGATCCATGAATCCATGAACGATATTGCAGTAAGCAAGCACATAAAAAACCCTAAAAAAGTAGGTGTGAGGAGGGATCTGTAAAGCTAGGAAGGACCCCACTGTCCTGGACGGGCCGTTATTTCGTTACATACAACAGTAATCGTTCACAGTATGCATATGTCGTCCATGCACACGTACGGCAGGTGCATAAAATATGTCTCATCACATGTACAAACATTGCCATCCACCGTACACATGCTAATAATACCGACGCTCTACCACATTCCTGGCGGTCAATCTGGCTGCCTGATGGCGTGCATCATTCAGGAGCTGGATTTGACCGGATCCGCCTTCCCCCCCGAAGCGCTATCGGAGCTGGCGGCGCTGAAGCAGCTGTCAGCTCTCCACTTTACATGGGCCGCCGGTGAGGCGGACTACACGTCGTGGGGTGTGCGGGAGGTGGTGGAGGGTGCACTGATGACCTTTTCACTGGGGGCACCCAGTCTGGAGACGGTGCTGGTCCAGCAGCCTCCGGGCCCTTCTCCGCACGCGGCGAAGTTGAGGCCGATTGTGGAGGTGGTGCAGCTCATGCTGGGTGCGCGTGGCTCTCAAGTGCAGTTCCAGGTGCGGTAGTGCTTATACCTATATCCCTACCACTGGCAGTTGCAACTCACTGGGCTCTCAGCAGGGCCAAACAGGCTCTAATATAAGGCCTGTTTGGCTTTGTCTGCTGTAGGCTGTTTGGCCGTGATTAGCCGTGATGGATGTTGAAAGCCCCAATCAGCTGGCAGCTACCAGGTGCTTGGTTATCGTAGTAGATCTACTACTCTAGAGGAAAGGCGACGACGACTGGATGGGCTTAGGTAGGTATGCGCGCCTCCAGCTACCGGGCGGGTGGGTGGACGGGTTAAGAATTAGCTGCGGATGACAGATAGCTACTGCCGGGGGAGGGGAGGGGCGTTGGATGGGAGGGGAGGGGAGGGGCCTGCTGGAGGTTTTCAGTTGTGGTTCTTTCAGTTCTACGGTTACTTTTTTACGCTATTTCAAGCTACTGGGTGTAAAGCTTTTGGCAAACTTATTCTAGATGTAGTATATGTGTGTATAAGCATAATAGTGAAGTGTTTGCAAACAATCATCCACGTCTATAGTCGTCCATTCGATCTGTGCAATTTGCGAAGTTTTGCATAATGAACGGTTTTACAAACTTCACATCAGGTTTATTTCGTATCAATAGTCCATCTGAACAAGGCAATATTTATGATAAGTAACCCTAGGTGCATTTCGTGACATGGGCTTGTATGGGTTGGAAAATAATTGCCTATGGGTGGGAGAAGATAGGCACTAGCTGGTGTGTGACCCGCAGGGCCCGAGACTGACCAGTTCAGAGGGGCGTGTAGCGTAGTAGCTGTCGTACAATACATCACACACCAGCATGCAATCATCGCCACCGATTCAGCATGCAAAACTTAGTTATCAGCTAGACCTCAGCTCCACACCTCACCAGCAAATTGTAAACCTATTACTCCATGTCGATGCCGGGATCTGCCCAGGAACCGAACCCACGACTTACATCGGGAATAAGGTTTCCTACCTCGTTTGTAATAGGTACGTACATGCATACGGCAGTATACGGCACCAAAACCCTCATGGGATGAATATAACTAGAGCCTAGACTTCGCTACAAACGTCTCACACATGCCTAATTCACCTAATTCACGATGCACACACACATCACACACACCACGGCAGCTACCGACTACCAACAACGAACATACATACTTCCCATCTATCCCCCTCATCATATCCGTCTAAAGCGGCGACCAAGTTCGTCGCTACATACTAATACTGTTAGCGCTTGTGCCAGCAAACCGGCCACCGAGCAGTTCAACACCCCAGCCGCTTGCTTTATCATATGATAACCGTTAGATGCATCTAACGGTTTAACGGTCTCAATCAGCGCATCTATGGAGCATCTACAAACACAACCCTAATTCAGAGACCAGATGTACACGAACAGCGAGCACCCAGGGGAATCAGTTGATGGACTTCATACTTTTTTTCCTGTTTCTGAGAAGATAGGTTCTAACGACAGGCTCTTGTCTGGTGAACCAACCGCCGCCGCCACCACCACCACTACCACCACCACGCACTGACGGCCACTGATTACCGCTATCGCCGATTGAAAAAAACTGTGTAACTATGCATACCCTCGTTTCCGCATGCCATGTATATGTATCGCGGCTTATCTGTGTAGCCTCCTGTCTGTATGGGGCCCTGTAGTAGCTGGTACACAGTACGGCTCTACAACTACACGCTAAGCGCGACCACCAGCATCTCGAGAGGCCTTTTCAGCGGCCAGCTACTACAGGCCGCCACACGACGACTGACTGCATCCTGCCTGTGTGGAGCCATCCGTATACGTGTACCGCCTTCATGATGCATTGCTCCATGTACTGATCCATCATCACCATCAGGATTGGACACCAGCAGCTGCAGCAGCAGCCATCAGCAGAGAAGAGCGCCGTTGCTGCCGCCAGGACTTGAACAGGGTCGCCAGCCAGTCACACGCGTTCCATGTAATAGACATAGCAGAGGCCACGGCACTAAGAATGAACACGCGGGATTCCGCCAATGCTGCGCCATCTGTCCACATGATGGTCTGGGAGCAGCTCTGCGCTATGCTCTCAAACAGGACTTCCAGCATTATAGGCGCGTGGTAACTAGCTCCAATAGTAGTAGTGGTAGTTGTTGTTGTAGTAGTTGTAGTTGCCTTGGCCAAGGCGGCTTGATCGCTGCTCGGCCTGCTGTGGACGACAGCCATCATGCCGCCATTACGGAACGGAGACGATGGCATTATGCCGCCGCCAACAGCTGTACCGTCATGTTCTTGTACCGGCTCCATCATGGCTTCGGCAACCGCAGAGGCAACGGTACCTAGGAGAGCTGGTTGCTGTCGAACGTCGCCGCCAGGATGGTTTGTTGTTTGGTTTCCCCATGGTCTGATCATGGTCTGATCATCATCACTGTTGTCATCGATATCTTCGACAATGTTGTTAAAAGTATTGTTGTGGATGTTCACCATGGTAAAGCTCGTCCCCACGCAAGCTGAGGGTGCTGGGGCCAGTTGGGGGTATGGCGGTGGTGCAAGGTACGAGCTTTGGCGCTTCTGCAGCATTGGGAATACCCATCTTGCACTTGGCCGAGCAGACCGAGCGGCTGGTGCCGGGCTGGATCCATCATTATTATTCGACCCAACATCTGGTAGCAGTAGATTGCCAAAGAGCTCTCGAACGCCATGGGTAATGTGAAGGATGATGTTGGCAGCAATGCCACAAATTGAGGTTAAGAGGAACATGTCCCGAAGCTGGAGCGCCAAACCTTCCACAAACGCATTGGTGGAGAGCAAGTTGAGCTTCTCCATATTCGACGTGACCTTGATGCACACAGCCAAGCCGGTCACTTGCTGGGTGATGAGGAACACCACCACTAGCCGGGACACAATCTTGACGGAGGAACGCCGTCGTGTCTGTAACCACCCTGACCGACTGATCAGAAATACGGAAAAAAGCACGATGATGACATTTTTGGCAACGTGAAGCCACCCGACAATGATGATTGCTCGGATGTTGCCGTACGAGGACACACTAGAAGCAAACAACCAGTCTGACACTTCATCATAAAGAATCAGGGATAGGCGCACTAGGCTGGTAACGGCTTTCAGCCACTTTTTTGAAAAACGCCGACTCCTGCTGCCAGTAAACCTGACCAGCAGGACTTCATAAACCAGCGTATACAGCACATACAAGCCCAAGGTCGCCCCAACACCGATGCCCCAAACCACAGATGCGACACGAACACGATAAGCTCTGCCCTCTTCCCCACACAATAACCCTTGGTCGTAGCTCCGAATAAAGCTGTTGTACTCGTCCACACGCAAGGCGGATGCAAACAACCCCAGTTGGAAGTCCTGGCCCTGTAAACAGCTCTCCGCATTCGCTGTGAGGACCCGGCACTCTCCGCTGGCCAGTACAACGCTTCGAACATTGCCACGTTCCAACAGAGTGCAGACTTTCACTGCATCGCCATTGCGCACCGGACCCTGAAGGTTGTACGACATGACATCGTACCCTAAGGGTCCATATACCTGCTTCAGCACAAAATCCTTGTCAGTTTCTGGCAGCAGCATGAGCGAGAGTCGCACGTTGGAATTACTTAGGTAGTAGAGTGTGTCTTGTTGGTCCTGGCGGCGGATGACCCCACACAGTAGAGGGTTATCGGTGAAGACAGTGACAGGCGGAGCAATGAAGCTGTCCGGCAGCCTGCCTTTGAGGCCGCGACCGCGGAAATCCGTCCTGTTGGTGCCGCTACAGCAATCACGTAGAGCTTCAATCTCTGTGCCGTTGCATTGAACTCGTGTGGCGATGTCCCGAGAAGCAGCGAGCGCATCAATTGTCGTGTTGCACGCCTCGAGATCGGAGGACAGCCCGTCGCAGAGCTGCGCTGCCGTTGCGGCGGTTCGGATGAAGGAAGCCACATTGTTCCGCCGTGTAAAGCCAGCTGAAACCAGGAGCTCGGCGAAGAGGTCTGAGGAGGTCTCCACGGTACCGATGACTTGAGATTGCAGGATAACCTGAAAGATTGGAGTAAGTTTTAGATATAGAGGTACTTACGTACTTGTAGTAGCTGTATGTCGTACAGCACGGCACACATATCGTCAATAATAATACGTGCTAAGGCGCTCTATCTGCCAGCAGCATCTTATTAGGAGGTCTTCCATGACAACATGTCAGCAGTGGCAAGCCGGCTATACTACGCTACACTACTGCATTAACAATATTGGGCGCATAGAAGGGCAGCTGCCCTTCTATGCGACCATCGTGTGCGAGTGAGGTAGGCTCGTTTTTCAGCAGCAATTTAGTAAATGCATGAAATATTACTGCACTGCACCCGCATGTGTGTATGTGTGTGTGTGTGTGTATACTGGCGCCTACTTGTGCCATGTGGTAAATACACGTGTCACAACACAGCCAGATACGCACGCTTACCTGGTTCACTAGGGTTTCCTTGAGATCTTGGAGTTTACGAAGCTGAATACTGGCAGTGGTAATATTTGCATCGCTGCTGACCCCCATAACCGTAGGATCCAGCAGCTCCGGATTGTCATTACTCGTATCCAACACGGTCTTAGCGGGAGTGAAGAGTGACGGTAGCCAGGATGCCAACCTTATATCAGATTCAACCCATTGCCTGAGCGACGCCAGCAACCTGCCAGGGACATCGCCTACAAGCCATGACCTAACCAATGTTTCCGGGGTGGCCTTTCTGCTCAGAAAGAAGCACCCCTTAAGTCTGAAGGAGCAGTCCTGCAGCTGGTCGACAAACCGGGATGACTCGTTCATCATTATGGACCGCTCCTTAACGGTGAGCGCTTTGCCCGCCCCAACCTTCGACAACGTCTTCACCATGGCGACCATGTCATGTAGCTCCTTCATGCCCTGGGTCGATCTGCAAAAGCTTTCCTTTAAGCTCGTCATTATTGTAGAGGCTCGCCCATCGACAAGAAGCTGCACCTTGTCCCCCCCGTACAGCATCACAACCTCCGTAAGCCCGCACCCTACGGGACAGTCATATAGCTTCTCCTCATCCTGCTGCTGCTGCTGCTGTTGTTGCTGTTGTTGTCGAGATGAAGAACCCAGTGTTAGCTCATCAATGCGGACACTGCTGTTACTAGAATTGAAAAGCTGTTTAACCAGAAAATTGAGGGCAGGTGCAAAGCTCATGTTTACGTCGACAGAGGAGGCGGCCGTGAGGGGAAATCCGTCAGCAGCCGCAGTAGCTGCTGCACGCCCAGAAGTGGTAATAGTGGTGTCCAAAGCCCGCCAATGGAAGTCTAATTGCGCGCCCCCCGCCATGCAGCCATGCATGGTAGACAGGAAGCTAATCAAGTCTTCGAGCTGGCTGAAATGACGTTGCATGAAGGCTGCGGTGTTGACGTCACACGAGGCATTGCCACCACGAACGACGCAGTCGTAATTGGTGCTTGCTACTGCTGGTGGTGCTGCTGCGGCGGCTGCAAATGGGGACTCGAGCTCGCTGGAAAAGTCGCCGTAGATCTTGGGCTCAGTTTTATCCTCTTGAAAAGCATCACCCTGCATACAAGCATGCATGGCCAATCCTTCATTTGCCCAAAGTACGTTGTAGGCAGCACTGTTGCTGCTGCTGCTGTTGCTGCTGCTGCTGCTGCTGCTGCTGCTGCTGCTGCTGCTGCTGCTGCTGCTGCTGCTGCTGCTGCAGAAACCCTTAGATGCTGGCTAGCTAGTTCCGGAGACCCGTACTACTTTTACTCACGTACTTTATTACAGGCTTAACAGGCACACCTACCTACCTCAGAATTTTCATCATTTGCCGTATCACAGAAAAGCACCCCGTCCCGGTTCGATGGCTTGACGTGAAGGCCCTGAGGGCAACCGGACAGCTGTAGTCGGGTTGTCAAGTAGGAGCCCCTGCTGCTTTCCCGGCACAGACATTTCAGGATGCAGGTCCGGGTCACGGAACAGTACCGGCAGCTGTCCCGGAACGGCCCTCTGGGTAGACCGCCGTACTTCAGCCAGGGACACCCGGACATTGAGCCTGTAGGAACAGCTCAGTTCGTTATTGAGCAATAAGAAATGTAGACATTCACGCATATTTGTGAAGGATGCATGCAGCTGGTGGAGTGCACCTGCTGGTCTGCTGCTGGCCTCCGATGAATTAATTAGATAGATAGATTAGATAGATTAGATTATGTATATGCACGACGATGCGTTCTAATACTTATTCTTATAGTTATTATCCACATATTGCTAAGCAGTCTGGTAATCGCGTTTATGTAAGGTTTACATGTCGTGCTTGCAACGTTGCGACTGTATTAGTAATAACTCGTTAATAAACGCCAACATTAATGTCGGCGTTTATTAACGACTTATTACTGTTACACAATGTTAACGAATTATTGCTATTACATAATATTATATATCACAGGAACGGCACTCTATCTGCCAGGAAATTGAACGAGGGCCCGTATGATGTGTGAAACAGGGGGGTGTATCTTCGCCCGTGGCAGCTACCCTGCGAAACCCTGCCTTCCCCGGAATTTCGGGGCACCCTCATCCAGTCACCCCTAGTCAACTTCTCAGTGGTTCGCACAGATTCCGCACCCACTACCAGCATCCAACGGAATCTGCCGGGTCAACAGCGGCTCAACTCTATTCCTGGTCGGCTCGCAGGTTAACTTAATCCCAGGTCACCAACGTCCAACAACTAGGGGGGCAATGCCTTCCACCATCGGAAGGTCTTTGACCCTAACGAGTATCGATCCCGGGATTGGTCGCGCCTTACCAGTGGTGCCAAACCCTATATATGCCCTATATATGCCCATATGTATGTCCATGTATGTATTTATGTATACCTGGAAAAACCTGCAGAAGCTGCAGTGGAGAGCTGACATCGCAAGGCCTCATGTACCAGGTAGTAGAAGTGCTGCTAGCAGCAGAACTACCACTACTGCCAGAGGGCCCCTCAACAGTCGTAGTGGCGCTGCTGGTATCAGTGGCGGGTACCTCGACACACAGGGCGGGTGTGTCGTATGAAGAAATGCGAAACCTGCAGTATGCATGAAGACAATGGTTACCGAGTTAAGCTTTTCAGCTGTTCCAGTGTAAGCGCATGCACTACACATACAACCTGCGTGAACATACGTCCACGCGTGCAAAAGGTATATCCAGTATTCACGTTAGGAAGTTGTTTGACGCGTTACTGGTGCATGCCGTAGATACGGTGGTGAATCCATAGGTGGGTTCGTCGTTGCTCACACGACTTATCTATATCTTAGGTCCTAGGGTTTATGTTCGTTTATTGTCCGGCGGCTATTGTCTGGCGGCTTATGTGTGCTCGCTCCTTGCCTGCCGACCAGTATCATCAGCTTAGCAGCAGCCTTATGCTCGCTGCGAATTCATCAACGGAACGATCTTTGCATCTGCATGCATATGCAGACGGGCCTAGTAGGTACTATCTACTGCCCGGCAGGCAGCAGAAGGGCGGGCCTTAAGCTTGCCAGCCCCCCGGGCCTGCCTTACCAGGTCCATTCAGTTTGCAGCCCACTGTAAACAAGCGAAAACGCTTGGTGAGGGACGTTGCTGCAAGCCTGTAGCTCAAGCTTCCGTGCAGTAGTACTACTGTTTGAGATAGCAGCTGTTGGACTTGCAGTCGACATCACTTCTGCTTTCACCATTATTGAAGATCCGCCGCCAAGGCAGCGCCCGTCAGCAGCCATAATGCGCACATATCCCGGGAAACCTAGACGGATAGCGGGGGGGGGGTAACGTTAGCTGGGAATTGCATGCGTGGCAGCAGACTGTATTAAGGACGTGTTCACATGTGAAAATTCGCGGGGGCAATGGACTTGGGTAATGGGGGGGATTGCTTGGGGTCAGGGGCGGGGCGATTTTGACCACCTTGCCTGACTCTTTTCTACAAATAAAGAAAGCCTTTCGACCTTATCATACCATCCACCTTGCGCAGCTTCAATCGTGAATTGCTGGAAGCGGCTTTCGCTGACTTGTTGACCACTAAGTTGCGCCAATCCCAGGATCCCTCCTGAGGAGTCCACGATGTTGGTTGGAGAAAGTGTGCTAGCACTGGCGCCAGGAATATGATTGAAGGATGCCGATGTTGCGAAGCTGACGGGATTTCCCAGGTGGCCTGCAAAATATACAGATAATGGAATACATAGATAAAATATATGTTTAGCATATCAGTTTAGTAATGTATATGTATTTATGTGCGGCTCGTGCAAATGAACGTACGTCATAAGTCGATATGCGATTTATTTCTCTGTTCTGTCTATTAAACCTTGCAACTGATAACCCTGTCTATCGACCAAAAATCAATGTACAGACAGCATGGACATAGCTGCATACATAGATTGCGTTGCATCTGACCCCCGCGCCGGCCGGATTTGTAGGCTTACCGTAACATGACCCCGTGAACGCTGGAACATCCAACAAGCGCATAGGCAGGAAGGTTGAATAGTTGCAGGAAGGGACTGGTGACCCTGCTTGCACATACATTTATTCATATGCACGTCATACACGCACGCATACAGCCGTCAGCAAAATGTACACTTTTATACAAACCTACAAACATGAAAACATGCAAAACATAAATCAAACAAAGCTCCCTGACAGTGAACCTCATAAATACGGGCTTCTCATATATGGGCTTCTACACAGGGAAAAGAATATGTAGCGGTCTGAACTAGCGGTCTGAACTACCCATAACCGTTTCTACAAAAAAGACAAAAAAATATTGCATGATGAGCCGTGCTTTTTTTTGCGATCAGCTACGTCAGTAGTTCACGCATTGCGTTCACATTAGCAAGAAGTCACATTAGATTATTTTTACTCGAAAACCGTGAAACATCGAATGGCGCTACCTGCGTAACGACAATGTGTAACACCAGGCAATTACAAAGAGTACTCAGGGAGATGCCAAGGGAGCTGAACCCTTCTTACACAATGCAAGGCGATAATGTACGCACATACATACCATTTGAGTCACTGCTGCCACTAGTCGCACGAACACAGACCAGCTGACCGGGAGTAAGGCCCGGCGAGCACGGAACTGAGGGGTTCAAGACCAGGAAATCCACAGGGTCCCATTCGCCCGCATTCGACGACATCCACAGCCCCGAGCAGGTGTCCGAAAGGGAACTCACAACAGCGTACTTGCTGCAACCTGTCGGGAAAAATAATGTGCAGGATAATGTGAAGAAATGCAAGCAATACTTTGTGTTCGGTACAGCAAGCAAGTAGCTGCGTGTAGCTAAGGTGGCTTTATTAATAGATGGATACTAGGGTTTTAGGGTTTGGGTTTTCACAAATACCTCAACACTTTAAAACCCTAAGTGATAGCTAAGAAAGATAGCAGACACACATGCAGGTTATTATTAGCAGCTAATTGTGCATGAGGTCAATCGCACGTTGCAAATACACTGCTGGAGCTCATTATCAGGTTCTAGTGGTAAGTAGACATACATAAGTGCATACAGCAGAACAGATGGGGATATTTGTGATTCGAGATTTTCCCCATACTCTCCTAAAAAACATTGTCTCGTATACATGCATGCCCTGCATCCAGACGCCCGTCGTCAGATACATAAGAGCAATGCTTGATTACTTGCTTGCGTGCTGCAGCAGGGGTATGTACGATGTGTACGAGCCCGTAAGTACTCGCTTTTATAATTTGTTTCACCTTTGCGGTTGTAAAGACAGGAGCTGTGCTCGTCGGTATAGGACGCCATGCTTGAAAAGGTCTGCGCGGTGGAGGCTCCACCGCCGTCGTCGGAGTATTGCAATTCGAATCCTGGACCCCGCAACTGAAATCCCGCACATTCAACTGCGGCTATGCAGCTGGAGTAGGCCTGTCCCGCCGTTTCAAACTTCCTAAGCATCTTTGCAGTTGTGTTCGACGCGACCACGTCGGAAAGGACTTGGAATCCGCTGTAGATTGGACATGGAGTTCCTGCAGCATGTGCATATGTATGACACGTATAGTTATACGTGTACGTACATGTATACCTAGAGGGTGCGCGTAGCAAATAGGGTAATTAATAAGCAGGCACGTCGCAAGCACGCACGGACATCGTACACACATCTCCGGAATTATTATTAATAATTTTTTTATTCAGATAAATGCGTGGCCGTAGCCGCGTCCTTTCATTATTATTATGCATTGGACGGCGGCGGCAGGTGGCGGGTGCACTGCACGGCTGCTGGCAGCAGCGCACTGCTGGCAGCAGCCATGTCGTCAATGAGCGTGCGATTGTACCTATTTAGAATATATTATTCCAAAGATCTCTGCCTCACCTATTTTTGTGTATAGGCAACTGCCATGGCGATACTGACGTAGGGCCGCAGCGGCAGACGACCGCGAGGTTTCCATTATGCGGAAACCAGCAGTGCTATCGTTATTGCTTTGGCCATCAGCAGCTGATGATGATGTCGAAGCCAACCCCGCGAACGTATAAAACCCCAGGCATTTCGTAGTTGAGGAGCACCTCTGTGCGACATGGGCGTCGACCAATTCCGCCTCGGCAATTTCTACCACAACGTCCCCTTCTACTTCATAGCCTCGGTGCTCGGGGCAGGATGTCACTGGAGAAAACAAGAATAATTAATACGAGCCAGGAAAAAAATTGCGAGCGGAGAGTTCAATTATTAGCTTGGTTAGTACGATTTCGTTTTTACGTACAGCGATGCTACGAATGTTTAGGCAGAATTATTAAGAATTCTCGTTTACGAGACGGCGGGCAAGGGCCAACAACAATCATGGTTTCAGCAGGTATCGGCATTTCATTTTCCAAGTACTCCTGGAGTACGACATTACCCCTCCCCCCCAGTCAAGGGCGTCCCCGCCTTAGTCCATTACAGGGTATTTGCCGTACTGCCGCCTTATACCAGAATGACCAGAAGTCGCGGGCCCGCCGACTCCCGTGAAACATACTACTTCATGATTTATCAAGCAGGATTGAAACCCAGATCAGGACCGGGAAATCTATGCTCCATTTACCATTTGATCATGTCTACA